TACAGAATCACCATATATATATATATCACCCAGATTTTAGAATTTATCAAAATTTTGCCACTCTTGTTTCATCTACCCTCTCCCTCTTTTTTTTTTCTGAAGTAAATTAAAGCAAATCCAAGATATTGAGTTGTTCTTGTGAACTTGTGAATTATTCTTTTCTATGGGGTCATTAGGTGACAGTAGGCAGAGGCTTAATACCCTCCTGAAGCAGTTTTAAATAATTGTTTCTTAGATTGTAGGTATAATAAAAAAATTAAATGTTTAAGGCAATTATTGGTATATAATATATTCTTATATCAAATTCCAAACATTTTTTGACCAGTTTGACCATAGAAACCAAGGCTAACAGAACTGAGATTCATAACAACCAATACACAAAAATCCATCTCTCACTTACACAATGTCTTTTACAGAAATCCGGTTGTTAATGAAATAATTTACTTCAATTAACAAGTTAAAATTTTCACAAGGCCTTTAAAGAGACACTGCATAAATACCAAAAGGCTTATGTTAGAAACCAGGAAAAAACAGAAAGGGTAGGACTCTGGAGTTGGAGAGATTAGTGAGCACCATCCATTCATCCATTGCTCCCCCAAAACAGACTGATAGCAACGTTTAAAATCACACAAAAAAAATCTCAAAAAAATAACCTCTACCTTTTCGGTCTGATTTGCATAATTGTCACTCCAGTAACTGTGTCTCCATGAAGCACAGTATGGATTATAGGGGCTGGACCACGCCACCTCGGGAGGCAACTGGGATGGACATTCAATATGCCACTGAGTTAGAAAAGGCAGAAGTTAGTATGCGAGTGAACTGTACCATTTAGTTACTGCTACCTAAACTAATATGCTACTTTTCATCATTAAACTTTCCTAGAAATTTTGAAAAACTAATAGTGAAATCTAGTCTTGTACCACCTGAAAAGGGAGCCAGAACTAACACTCTCTTACCATAAGTGACCAACGAAACTCAATTGAAAACAGAGCAAGAACAACTGTTTATTTTTCTAGAGATATTCCAAAACAGCTCATGATGTCTGGGAATTTTAAAATAAAAAGAAAAAATGCATTTTTTTGCTATATGAATAGAACCACTCAGACCCTATGGTGCATCTCATGGATGATGTGAGCTATGTTTATATTAATATTTTAGTTACATAATCACCCTCACTTCACTTAGTTTGCATATAGAATGCCTAAAACAAGCTTCTTGAATCCCCATCAAATGATCTATTCACCTTTCCTATCTATCCCAAACTCTTATCACCCATTAATGAGCAGTTTAAATCATTTACTGATGTCATTAATGATGTCTCCATCAGCATGCTTATGCACTTGAGAGTGTGTGTAAAAATGAGAGAGTCTTAGATATTCTAACTTCCACGCTTCAGCTCAGTCTCATTCATCCAACAAATATTTACTGAGCACAATCCATGTGCTGACAATGTTCTAAGTACTAGGGATATGAGCAACGTGAACTAAACAGAACAATTTTTTTTTTTTTGCCTTCAGGGAGCTTATATGCAAAGAGTGGGAGATAAGCAATAAAAAACAAAATATGCAAAAAGTTTTGTCAGATGGTACTAAGGGCTATGGAGAAATATAAAGCAGAGAAGGAGATAGGAGTTTTGGATGGGAGATTATAATTTTAATAGTGGTCAAAGGTTTTACCAATAAGACACTTGGGCAAAAACATGAGGAGGAAAAGGAATAACCATGCAGATAGATATATGGGGAAAAAAGCTTTCCAGGCAGAGGGAACGGGAAGTACAAAGGTTCTGAGGAAGGTAAACACTGGCAAGTTTAAGGCACAGCAGAGAGGCCAGTGTGCCTGGAGTGGAGTGAACCTGAGGAACAGTACTAGATGAGGCCAGAGAGCCAGCAGAGGACCAAACCAAGAATACAGGTACTCATAGGCTTTATTCTGAGTGAGACAGAAAACCACCAGAGAATTTTGAATAAAATGACATGATCTGACTTATGCTTTAAAAGGATCACTTTGGCTGTTGGGTTGGTAAAAGATTGAGAGGGCCGTGGACAAAAGAAGCGATAAATTGGGAAGCTACTGCAGTACGACAGGTGAGCGTGGCAGCAGTGGATGTGATGAGAGACAGATTCTAGACAGATTTCAAAGGCAGAACCAATAGGATTTCCTGATGGATGGGATGCATGGTGTAAGATAACAAATCAAGAAGGACTCTAAGGTTTGGGGGCCGAGCAACTAGAAGGCTGGAGGTGCCATTTGCTGAGATGACGATTTTGGGAGGAGCAGGTTTTGGGTGAAAGTTCAGGAATATAGTTTTGGACATCTTAAATATAAGATGCTTATCAGACATCCAAGCAGAGCTGTGGAGGAGGCACTGGGTATCAGGTCTGGAGTTCAGAGATCTGAACTGGAGGGACAAATTTGGGAGTTGTCAGCATATATATGGAATTTAAATGAGAGTCTGTGAAAGCCCACAGACAGTGATAACAAGTACCACACATTTTAACAATTCATGCCACTAACAAAATTTGTTATTTTAAGAGAAAATACTAAAGAAAGCAGAATTAGAGTTCAAGTTATTGCATTTTATAATGCCAAGTCCAAGATCTCTATACTATATTTCCTTATAAATAAAACTTACTAGGGAAATTTAAGAATAAGAGCCTCACTCAAAAGTCGGCCAAACGAAGCAACCACTCCAACATCGTACTCTCCAGACCCCACATCTGGCCACTCATACACTGGAAGCTGAGATTGGACAGCATATTGCTTCACTGGCAGTCCTTTTGGTGATGGAGAAGGTATTGTGACCACCTCCAATTTCTCGATTAACTCTTCCTCTTTGTTTTCCCTAAGTTGGAAAGATTGGAAGAAAATGTGACAGTGTTAAGACAATGGCTCAAAGCTAAACTACTTCACCCACCTCTATGGCATTTTTATGATTAAATTCATGAAGCACTAAAGGGTAAATGATTAAAACTGGTGTAACTGAGAGACTGTGTTTTTCTTTTTTATTTAATTTTAATGATTTTAAATTTAAAGAGCCACATGTGGCTAGTGGCTACTGTTTGGAGAGCATAGTTCTAGAAATTTCCTATGCAAACAGAAACATATTCTGTACAGACATTTTATACAATTGGGGTATTATATATACTACTCCATATTTTGTGTTTTTTTTTCTCTTAATAACACTATATATGCTATTATATGTCTTGAAAAAATAGGTTAATTATACATTTGCTTATATATGCACCGAACATTTCTAAAATAAGAAACTATAAACAATGGTTGTCTCTGAAGAGAGGACCTGGGACCTGGAAGACAGGTGAAGGAACAGACTCTTCACTGTATATCTTTTGAATTTTGTATCATAACCATGTGCTACTTAAACAATAAATACTATATATATATATATATATATATATATATATATATATATATATATATACACACACACACACACACACACACACACACACACACACACACACCATGGGCATCATTCCATGAGAGTACATATAGCACTACCCCATTCTTTTTATCTGCTGCATACTATTCCAGTGCTGGGAGGGGCTGTTCATTTATTTATTTGGCAGGCATTGCATCACATGTTGAGGAGTTAGGAGAAAAGGAATTTATAGGAGGGCCCTAATGATGCAGTAGTGGAGATGTCAAGTGAAGCAACAGTAGAAGGGTCAGGATACATGCAGTGAGAGATGTGGAAGGCAATATGGGGAAAGCAGCCTGTGGGGAGTGCATTATGGAGGGTGTGCAAAGGGAACGTGTGAGGGGAGTGTTTCAGGGTGTGTGTACAGAAGGCAGTGTGTGGAGGGAGAAAGACGATACAAGGAAATTGATGAGGGAGTCAATATGAAAGACTGCTGTGAAGTATTGTAGGGAAGACTTGATGGAGTGAGATGACAGAAATAAGTGCGGGGTTGCATCAGGAAAAAACCGGAGTGGGGAAATTAAAAAAATGGAGATTGGGGGAAAAGGAGGCAGAGCAGTATGTATGGGTATAGTATAGTCACCATATACCATGGCCTTTCAGGACAAGTTGGATCGCAAGTAACTTATTTCCCAGTAAACATGAATGGTTAAATTTTAGAAATATTAAATGTATACCTAAGAGTTCTGACTTATAAATTTATTTTTGAAAACTTGGTTTTGGACTATGTCCTCATTTCAACCCTAGAAAACTTAAGTCCGGATGTATACAGGGGGAGATGGGGTGCAAAGGAATAAGATATGGGTGTGCAGGCGGATGCATTCCAAAGAATTGGAGGGTACAAATTAGATGAATCAGAGGCAGTAGGAAGAAGTGGTAAGCGGGGTGGGGTGGGGTGGGGTGGTGGCTTTGAAGGCAGACCCCGTTTCAGTCCTATCAGTTGAGCTGATGACTCCAGGCATTCGTTTAACCTCTCTGAGCTCCGGTTTCCTTACACGCGGAAGGGGAATGGAGGTGGTGGGACTGGACGGAGGTGGTGGGACTGGACGGAGGTGGTGGGACTGGACGGAGGTGGTGTATGCAAAGCGGTGAGCACCGGCTTGGCATCGCAGGGCGCCGGGTAGCCCTTGGAGAACGGATAAACAGGGCCTGTAGTGTGGGGTGTAGACCGGACCGGACATGGCGAGTGCGGTGCACCTTCCGGTTGCCGGAGACGCCGAGATCGGGGCCCACACCACTCCGGCGCCGCTGCTTTCCCCAGCGGGAGTACAAACCGTCCGGGACGGCCGCAGAGGCTGGACACTGGCGCCCTCCGCAGCCGAGCCCCGCAAGCCCCGGCCTCGGTACCTGGCGGCGTGCAGCGCCCGCAGCGCCTCGCGGGCGAATTGGTCCGTGCCGAAGAAGAGCACCCGCCAGGGAGGCTTCTCGCGGACTTGGGCGCCCTGGCCGTCCTCCCCGCCAGGGGACCCGCTGAGCCCGGCCAGCGCTCGCCATTGGGGGCTCGATCTCCGGCCCGCGCAGCCACCAGCTGGCAGGCGTCCCCAGCAGCGCAGTACAAGCACCCTCATCGCCTCCGCAGGTGGCCTATTTTGCGCAGGCGCGTTGGGATTTGAGTGAGCTGGATAGGCCCGAGGGGCGGGGCCGGGGAGGAAACCCGATGGGCGGGGTTTGTCTGGTTGGAGGCGTGACCGTCTGTGTTGGAGCTGATGAAGGAACGTGAGGGTTCAAGAGCCCCGTGCCTTTTGTTGCATTTATTCGCACGATTTAACCTATCTCCCAAAAGAACTCTTTTGGGAACAAATTTTATGTGTTTTCAGACAATGAAATCCTATTTGTGTACGTAATTCGGTGTCATTTTCTCAGCTATTACAACTAATATTTACTGCATATTTACTATTATACATGTGCTATGCTTTGGCTAAGCATTTTTTTATTGATTAGTTCCGGTAATCTTCATATCAACTATACCAGGTAGATATTACCATTTTACTAAAGAGAATCTAAGGCTCAGTGAAGTAATTGCCTGTCTAAGGTCCTCACAGCTAGCCCATGTAGCTCCAAAGTGTGATCCTAACCTTTTGGCCTTCACAGCAATCCTATGTACTACAAAAGTCAATGTCCTCATTGTGCACCTTAGGAAACAGGCTCAATTCCTTGCTCATCACTTTGGCGAATCAAAGGCCCTACTCTATCCCCTACGCTGTGAGCTCCTTCCTGCACAGAGGAATACCGTAGAGGAGATTCTTATGGAAAATGGGCAGGGGAAACTGTCCTTAGAAGACCTCTAAGGACCTTTAGTGCTTAGATTCTGTATTCCGGAGGCACATGCAGTGGCTTTCTCCTTGAATGTGGTCACACATCCTGGCTGTAGAGAGGAGACAAGATTCCTTTCTAGTCTTCCTCTCACCACATTTCCCCATCACACAGTCTTAGACCCAGTGACCCTAGACCAGTCCTTTCTCCTAAATTATGAGCTTTGCACATCCCTGCTTCTGTGCCTTTGTTCATGCTATCCTTCCTAGGCTGTCCCCACCTCTCTTCCTCTCTAAGTGCAATCCTTTCTTCAATACCAAGTTCAGACATCCTCCCTGAAGCCTTGAGCTCTCACCTGTATGGATTTATTGTCTTTCTCCACGTGCCCCCTTAATGCTCTGTGGGTACCTTTGCCTCTCACACAGTTTGCAGTTATTGAGGGAAGTTGTATAATGTATGCCTAGACATTGACAATTCACCTGTGTGTTGAGTAGAAAAGAGGGAGGCAAAGAGGGAGAGACTGTATTTCCAGTGTTTCTGCTCATCTGATCATATATACAAGAAGGAGAGTGAGATGGGACCCCAAACCTTCCATTCCTTCAATTGAATTCTCTGTCAATATCCTCTATTAGAGTAAGTGGAATATGATTCTAATATTTTTTTGGTTTTTTTTAGCTGAGCCATCCTGCCACCTGTTGGCAGCTCAGCGGCTGCTCAGCTCGGGCCGGGACTCGAACTGCTGTTGCTCAGAGCTCAAACTCTTGAGCGAGCTCTTAACCAACTGAGCTTCTCGGCTGGCCCTTGATTCTAATATTTTTTAAAATGGCCTTTTCCCATAACATGATCTATAAATATAACCCAATAGTTGTTTGGGTTTTCACCTTAGAATCTGGACCTTGTCTGAAGTGTGACTCTTTACATTTGTGTTTACCTTATTTCTCTCCTTGCGTTAGAGAACCTTGCATTATACTACATTTAATTTTCAGCAGCCCTGAATTCTTCACAGGTAGTCCTGCTTTGAGACACTCACAGCACCCTCTGCCAACCACACAGTGACTGCTCAGTCCGAGGGGCCGACGCCAATGTTCTTTCCTCCACAGAGCTGGTATGGGCCATTGATATCTAATTGTCTAATGGATGGTCTTTTGGTTTGCAGCAAACGTCTTTTTAAAAAACTAAAAATGATACTATTGTAACGACTGAATTTTCCCAGAATGCTAAAATAGAAATCTTTCTGAAATTCTTGGTAGTAAGTTAGGGATGTATTTGGGGTGGGAGGGTGTCCATTTCCAAGCCCAGACAAATCCACTGCTGGAGTTACTATAAATCACACAGCGAAGATGAGGATGCCAGCCCGTAATGACAAGGAGTTTTAGTAATAAATTTAAATGTCCATAAATCACATCCAAGATAATGCTAATTCGGCTGGTACTCCAGTTTCAAAAAGTTTCTCTTCCCTAATCAATGGAATATGTGTGCACGTTGAATCAATGAAATTATCCCAAATTCTGACCTGGGTGACAAGACAAGGGCAGTGGCATTGACAGAAAGGAAGACTTGCTTGGTGGTAACCATGACGATGTTTTAGTTTTTGTGTGCTTTGAAATGAAGTGATGAGACAAGCAAGTAGAGATATTTGGTAGAAATCTAGAACATGGGATTGGCCTCCGTGATGGGGGTGTGAGAGAGCTGATCCTGGAGTGGGAGGAAGCAGAAAACATCTCTTCCTGTTTTGCATCGTCCCACCCTGACCCTAATTATGTGTGCATGATTTCTGAGGAGTGGGGAGATCTGTCACGATGCGTGTGTGTGTGTGTGTGTATGAGAGTGAGAGAGAGAGAGAGAGAGAGAGAGAGAGAGAGAGAGAGAGAGAGAGAGAGAAACCAGCCCTTTGGCTTTGATTGAGGGGCAGCCAGAGCCCTGGGAAAGATGGAGCCAGGGTCATGAGGAGGAAAAGGGTCAGAGCTCTCAATTAGTAGGGTGGCCAATGCCTCGGTCCATAAGAGCTCCTGAATGTCGCCTGGAAAGCAATGCCACATGTCACCAGGGGAAGGTATGCCATACACAGGCATCAGGCCAGTGCCAGGGGCAAGAAATGAACCGAGGGTCGCAGCCCAACGAAGCCTTTAGGGACGCAGCCCTTAGTGAGAAGTTCCGTGTACAAGTAGTAGTAGTAATCTCTTGCCTGTAGTTGTAGCAGAATTCCACGAGGGGGCGCTGCTCACCAACCTTTCCAGTCATTGACCATAATGGGCAATTCACAAAGCTACAGCGCTTCTGACTCGGATTAGGCGGTCTGTGTGTGTTGTCACTGTCCTTTGTGGTCTCAGTAGCTGTCACTCCCAAATCTGTCCAGCAGCTTTTCTGTAAAGCAGTGCTGGGGCTGTAAGGCCACCCGCTAGGGACAGACCCGGACTCGCTGGCCACTCCCACCCCAGCCCGCCCCCCCACAGCTCTTACAGATGATAGAAAAATACTAAGGAGGCTGTTCTATGCAACAGACCCTCCCTCGCCAGGAGACTGGGATGTCTTTCAGTCCCAGAGGAATGCTAACGAGGCAGCGGGACCACCTGATTTGGGTGTCCCTGAGGAGAGAGATTGGAGAGGTCACATGACATTGGAGGGTTCCCAGGAACGCGAAGCCAGATGTGAGACTATAGGAACGAGAAGCAGCTCAAGGTTAAGGAAGTTTCTCTTTGATAGTCAACATAGTAAACCAAGGGAAATACAAAAATAGATTTAAAGAGATCAAATCTTAAAATCTTTGGTTTGTTATCCGACCACTTCCCCCAGGCAAGAGAGCTGTACAATATTAACAAAGGATAAGAGTATTTTTTATAAAGTGCCTTTGCTTACCTTCATAAGGAAATTGACAAGATAGTGAAGCCTCTCACATTTAATGGAGCTCATAATTTAATTGGTCTCAGAGCCTGGTAAGCACATACAGAAATTTAGTGTAAGGGCCTCAAGAACACCTGGAATTTATTTTCAGGGAGGAACAAAGAATCATGACACATAGAATAGCAATTACGTAATTTAGGCTCATAAATTGCATGAAATAGTTATCACAAGACTGACTCACCATACGATATTCACCTGGAAATTCCTCTCAAACATAGGAAGCTGGTTTAAAGGTGATACTAGAAAAAATTCTAAATATGTCCTAAAGTGAATTATAGCAGACATGGTGGTGAGTGGAGGAAGGGGTTAATCAGTTAACAGAACTGCCAAAACCACCAAAAAATGCTCACATTCCTGAACGTATGTTCAAACTTTGAATCAACTTCCATGTGGCTATCTAAAAAAAAAAAAAAATAGTCGACCACCAGAAGCCACTGGATCGTGCTTATACATGAACTTTCCAGACTGTTTCCTACAACCAATCCAAAAACAATAAATCATTCTTCCTTATGGATTATGCACCTGTTACACAAAAAAAATTCAAGGCTGAAAGCTCTTTAAAAAGAAAGGGGTTATTGAGCCAAATCTGAGCCAGAACAGGACCAGGTCCTGAGCATGAAATCTAAGCCAGCAGCAGAAGGGCTTGTGGGAGCAGACAGCACTCTGTGGTCCAACTCTGTGGGTTGATGGTCTATTTCATTAATCAAGTAGGGGGAGAAAGATGTAAGTTGTTTTGAAAGAATTTACACTGGCTATAGGTAAAGGGGGTGGCAGAAGGCGAAGCGGGGCTAGTTCTGGGATAGACAGAGAGTCCATAAGGAAGAAATATTTGTTCCTTTGGGTTGTGAGCAACAGTCTGGAAAGTTCCTGTGTAAGCAAGAAGTGGAGGCTCCTAGGGGTCAGTGACTCCAGGTAATAGCAGAAAGAGGTACCTGGAAGTTAATTAGAAGTTTCTACATTCAGGAATGCAAGCAGTCTTTTGTTGGTTTTGCCCTGTAGTTTTTAGCTGATGAACCTCTCCTGTCTCTCTCTTCCACTCTCTTGCCTGCTGTAATTTAATTTGGGACATCTTAGAATTTTATCCTTGTCATTCCTATCCCAGAACTGCCCCCACTTCACCTTTTACCTGCCTCCCTTTTCTATAGCTAGAATCAAAACAACTTACATCTTTCTTACCCATTGTCTAAAGAGCCCTGTCAGCTCCGTGAAGGAAAACATGTTTGTTTTCTCCATCTAGCCCTGCTTCTGGTGGTTTAGACGGTATGTCCCAGGACCTGGTCCGTTTCCTGACTAGAACATGACCTTTCTTTTAGAAAAGATTTTGGCCATAAGAGTTTTTGTTTAACAAAGGAATAATATCAATGTGGATTTTTAAAATGTTTGGCAACAATGATTGTGTATGTTTTGTATGCCTACTTGCCTCCA